CACAACCTATTCTGAAAATCTGTTCTGTTGGGTACTAGGCATTAGAAATGAGGTTCAAGTGTGGCGCTTCTATTCCCAGCAATTGAATGTGGGAATTCACCAGGCCTAATTCTTTACAACTATAATTAAATGCCTTCAAACTTAAATTGATACTAAACACACTGTTTAATTTACATTGGCCCTTCACTTTCTGTATGTGTTTGATGGAACTGTAATAATTTTAATAAAAAAAAACAACTAAGTACCTTTTTTCCTAATCAATATACAGCTGCTTATAACCCAACTCTTTCTCAGCCTGTCTGTACGGAAACAGTGGCAGGAGGAGCTTCTAGTCTTCTTCTACTAGTCACATGTTCAAAATGGAAAAAAACAGCTGTTGGAATACAGAGTAAAAATAAACTAATTCATACCAATAAACTGTTTTAAATCATCATACAGTATATATATATATATATATATATATATATATATATATATATGAAATCAAATCTTCATAATATTTTGGTAATGACATGATGTGGGTGGATTTCTGCCAGTCACAGGCAGTGTCACAGGCTGTGTCACACCCCTCCAGCCTGTGTTTTAGAATAACAGGGAAGTAAGATGTAATATCCCACCCCCACTGTGTTTAGTTGGTTGGTGGGTATGGGTGAGGAGGGAGCTGTCATTTCCCACTGTGTATACGCCCACATATGTAACTCTATACTCTTATGGGCTGCTCGGATGTGATTGGGAGGAAATACTCAGCATAGAAACTTACTTAAAATTGAGCATGTGCAGTAGCTGCCAACACTGTTCTAAAAAATCCCCAACTTCACTGGGGTCATGGACAGAAGAGGGAGATAGAGAACAGCATGATCAACCAGGTGTTTTGCAGAATACAGAAGACAAATCCCATAGTGAATAACTGAGTATGAACAGCAGGTAATACAGCATTTATTGATTTTTTTTAAGTGCGTTTAAATACACTTTTAAGTCAGTTGGTTTAGAAGGCCAATAAAAAGGCTTTTGGATAACTCAGTATCCTCACTATAAAAGGGTGGGTTTTCAGAAGCTGTACAAAAAAGTGCCTTATGATAAGTATAGAATGTTTTCTTGAATGATCACATAAAAAGTTTTGTGATAGACTTTCTGCTGCAGTTCTTTACTGGGCTTGATTCAGGGGCATGTTATTATTATTATACAGGATTTCTATGGCGCCAACAGTTTGTGCAGCGCTTTACAAAATGAAGGTAGACATTCCAGTTACAATACAATTTGGTACAAGAGGAAACAGAGGGCCCTGCTCGTTAGAGCTTATGTTAGTCCCTCCTACGGTTGTACTACAAGAGCTGCTGCTATCTTTGCTTACCCATGTTATGCCAGCTATGCCCAACAACTCATCAGATAGACTACAAGTAGTCAGATTCCTCTGCAACCTTCTGCAAACAGAACCATAGATCTCCAGTTTAGGACAGCGGATGTCGGCCTCCAGACTTCACTCTCATATGTGTGAGTTCTGAAGGGAGCTTTAAAGAAGTGAATAAGACTAAACAAAATGCTCTACATAATGGTGGAAGGCAGGATTGGTCTTGTTGGTAGAGGTATGGATAGACTGAAGGAAATGGAAGAGGAGGTGAAGGAAAACGGACATTACCAGTACTTGCAGTCAACTGGCGACTCTGCACCTGAGGAATAAGAAGAGAATGGTTTTCTCAGCCACTTTGCTATCTCTCTAGAGCTCCTGCTCATGCCATAATCATGTTGGTGGGGGAAGAGGAGAAGGAGGAAGAGAAGGAAAAGTAGAAAGAGGAGGAAAGGGAAGAAGAATAGTGGAAAGGATGAGAGGGGAGGAGGAAGAGGTCACAATAGCAAGAGTTTGCCACCCACTACCTCCATGTGACTGCACCTCTTCCTCTCCTTTAAAGTTAGTTTTGGACAGAGTTTTTTTTTAGTTTTGGACAGAGTGGAGAGGGATTAGAACACCTGTCAGGTTTTTATTGTTGTCTATCTTAGGGAGACTTACTCTCTCTATTTCCCATGTCTATTTGGGATGTCCCTAAAACAGTAATAGAGGGGAAATCTTCAAATGGGACACAATAGGTCTCATAGACACACTTGCCTATCGGGCACTTATACCCCCTTCCTTACCAGGCCAATTTTCAGCTTTCGGCGCTGTTGCACTTTGAAAGACAATTGCGCGGTCATGCAACATTGTACCCATATGACGTTTTTATAATTTTTTTCTCACAAATAGAGCTTTCTTTTGTTGGTATTTAATTGCTGCTATTAACAAAAAAAAAGCAAAAAATTTGAAAAAAAAAAGTTTCTTTGTTTCTATAATAAAATTTTGCAAACAGGTAATTTTTTTTCCTTCACTGATTTGCTTTGATGAGGCTGCACTGATAGGCAGCACTGATAGCCACTGATAGGTGGCACTGATGGGCACTAATAGGCAGCACTGATTGGCGCAACTGCTGGGCACTGACTGGTGCAACTGCTGGGCACTGATTGGTAGCGGCACTGCTGGGCTGCACTGATGGGCATGGGTGGGTGGCACTGGTGGGCACAGGTGGGTGGCACTGCTGAGCACAGGTGGGTAAAACTGGTGGGTGGTACTGCTGGGCACCAATCATCAGGGCACTTATCATCAGTGCCCTGATGATCGGTGCCAATCCCTGCTCTGACAACTGCCAATTCTCGGCAGTACTTTCCTCACGCTTTGACAGCGTGAGGAAAGTGCAGCCGAGAACCAGCAATTGCATTTCCCGGTGATCATTGGACACGGCTGATCACGTGGTAAAAGGCCGCTGTGATTGGTCTTTTACCACATCATGTGGTCACAGAGATCGTTGGGGGCGCAGGAGAACGCGTTCTGGGAGGACGTCATATGACACCCTTTCAGAATTGGCCGGCCGCAGTGCAGCCGTCATTCGGCTATCTGCGGTCAGCAACTAGTTAAGAGCAAGCATGCAGGAGTGTCCCCAGAGCAAGCAGCTTGCTCTGGGGACACTCGGCGGGGGAGGGGCCTGGATCGCTGGGGGGGGGGTACCCGGGAATAGAAGGACAGATATGCACAGAGCAGGCAAGTATGACATGCCTGTTATTTTAAAAAAAATATGAACTTGAAAATCTGAAAAATTGTGCCCAGACTATAATTAACAAAATAAATATAAAAAACAACAGAGGAGGAAGATTATGTTGGCAAAGCAGATGAATTGAGTATGTGCCTGGCTTCTGCTGTGAGCATCCCAACCAACGCATAAGTACCAAAAGAAAAAAACAGAGAAATTTAGCTATGCATGAAAAGTAAAAAAATAAATAAAATTGTGAATGGGAATCTGTCACTCTGGGACAACCCAGACCAGATGATTTCCACTAGATTATATAGGGGAGGGGTTGAAGATGTGGAAAAGGTGAGGCTCAGACCACCAAACTTGGGGTGAATATAAAATAATGTTTTTGCATATGGCAGCAGGCATCACCAGACATCTGGAGCTACATAAAAAGTTACATTACATCTACACTGTCCAGCCACTGTACAATATTTGTGGTTATTGTCTCTCAATAATACCTTCTAATTTCTATTTAAAGATAAAACGTTTCTTGTCTTTACCTTTTCTATCACATCCTAACCATGCTGCTTACATATTGTACGGCCTCTGAACTATATTCGTGGCTATTGTCTTCCAGATAATACATCTAATTTTTACTTCAAGATAAAATCTACCTTGTCTTTTCCTATTTGCTGCCTATTCAATTGTTTGTGTTCTGTCTGGACACTAGCCAGTATCTACCAAACATATACATGAAGTCTATATTTTAAATATTTTTGTGAATAATTGGGGATACAGGGATAAGAGGGGGTTCAGTGAATGTGGGGTTATGTTCATACTCCCCCTCTTTTCACTGTTTCATTTGTTGCTAGGATTTGCTGATATTGGTATAGATGCTTGCCTTTTTTTTACTCTTTAAATGGTATTTTTTTTCGATTTAAAAGGTATCTAAATCCCAAACTTTTCTATTTATCCTCTAGTCCTTTTGGATAAACCTGCCTGGTTTTTTTTGGAGATATATACAGCAGAGGCACTTGATTGAATATGTATTATTTCTCACTTTGTAGGTTTTATTTTGAGCCTAATCATAGTTTAATCTTTTCGTGCTCTATCCAAATTTAGGCTATATTCACATTACAATGCAGAAGAAGATCTGACAGAGGAACCTTCAGAGCCCTTTAACTTAGTTGGCATTTTTGTATGCAACTTTATTGCTCTCCTGGCAGATGTTTGTTTTTGATAATATTCAAAGTGGTGACTTTTATACTCACCTGAGCCTGATCCAGCAATGTGCATGAGAGCAGAAGCTCTCCCTGGGCTCTGTCTCCTCTTTGGTTGAGACACAGCAGTGGGAGCCATTGGCCTGTGGCCTGTTGCCTGTTGGCCGAGCTGTGTTCTGTGTGTCTCATAGATCTCAAGAACAAGCATGCATGAGTGTTCGCAGAGCAAGAAGCTTGCTCTGTGGACATTCAGCAGCATAGAGGAGCTTGGAGCGCCGATGGGGGACCCAGGAATAGGAGGACAGAGCTGCACAGAGCAGGTAAGTATGACATGTTTGTTATTTTTAAAAAATCTGAACCTTTACAGTCACTTTAATCTTATACAAAACAATCTAAAATATATATGAATTGACAATGATGTTGTAGGCATGCTTACTTTCATAAACTGGCAAGTTTGGATAAACTGGCAAGCAGGGTACTTTGAGAACATTTGATATTCATGATAAAATGATGATGAGAGACACTGTACCAACTTGATAAAAAGGTCCCTGCTTGTAAAAGCTTTTATGCATGAAAACAGAACTTTCTCAATAATATTTCTAAATGTTTACTAGCAAAATGTAATTACATTTTTTTGTGGTGGGGGAGGGGGCGGGTGAATTGTAAAGCTGTATTAAAATTTACTATACTGTAAGTGTATTTCTGCTACTGACATATATTGTAATTTTGTATATAAATGTTTCAGATTACAGATCGTAGTTGTTTGACCCGTTCAAGCAGTAATACGCTTTCCAGCAGTGCATCTAGCAATAGTGATGAGAAGTCCTATGGTTCTGGAGACCTCATGGACCCTGAATTACTTGGCTTAACATATATCAAAGGAGCCTCAACAGACAGTGGGATTGATACAGCACCATGCAGCATGCCTTCACAAGCTATGGCTTCAGTACTTCATACAAGCAGCAGATCACACCATATAGCAGAACAAATGGTTCCATGGAATAACTCTTCAGATGAGGCAATGCCAGATAATGACCATGAAAACCTTTATTATGTCCACAGTTACCACACAGCTGATGGAAGCATTGGAGATTTTAGTGAGTTGTCCTCACATTCCAGGTAATTCTGATTTCTTTCTCTTTCTATGCCTATACAATTTTTTTATAATTCATGTATTTTTTTAACTGATGTGTATTCAGATTTATTCCTACTGTATTTGTACTAGACGTGAGAAATAATTAAAACTCCTGCAGTTTGCTTTTTCTACGATCCCCCATTTGATCTTTTGATTTTGTATTCATCCATACTCCGGGGTTTATTAGCGCTGGTCTCTCCTCTCAATTATGGTCTAATTGACTTGCTGACTAATTGACGTTTAGACACCAAGTCTCAATGTTAACAACTGGCACAGAAATTAACATCAGAAAAATAGATTTTGTCACTGTATCCTAATAGAATTCTTTACTTTTCTGTTCCAAGAACTTTAATAAAAAATAACCCACAACTCGGTCATCAACAACACATTGGGGGAGATTTCCTAAAACTGGAGAGTGCAAAATCTGGTGCAGCTGTCCATGGTAGCCAATCAGCTTCTAACGTCAACTTGTTCAATTAAGCTTTGACAAAATAAACCTGGAAGCTGATTGGTTTCTATGCAGAGCTGCACCAGATTTTGCACTCTCCAGTTTTAGGAAATCAACCCCTATGTGTGTTTTGTTTAAAGACCAACAGACTTTTTTAATAGAGTGGTGAATGGCTAGAACATCTGTCAGGTTTTATCCACACTGCAAAGATTTCCCTTTATCTCCTGTTTTTATGTCTGACACCTGTTACCTAGACATTGGGGTTGATTTACTAAAGGCAAATAGACTGTGCACTTTACAAGTGCAATTGCATTCACTTTCTCCAGAGCTTAATGAATGTGGTTAAGCTCTGCTGATTTCCGCTATCCAATCATATGCAAGCAGAAATGCTGTTTTTGTTTTTTTTTGTACCTGATATTCTTTACAAAGTGACACTTCACCACATTCACTAAGCTGTGAAGAACCGCACTTGCAAAGTGTACAGTCTATTTGCCTTTAGTAAATCAACCCCATTGAGTCAGGTAAAATTTGCCTAGTGGAAGACAACCAGCTATAAAACCTTTCAAATGTTTCATCCCCTTCCTGCTCTGCTAAGTTAGATGTTGTTATTGCTGTCTATGTCACTAAGGATTTGTCTTCTGTGTTATAATCATGTCCCTTTTGCTTGACTCAGTTATGTTTTCATTGTATCATAGCAGGATAGTGTCATAGTAGTGGAACAGCTGAACATTTATTAGTCCCTAACCTCTGTGGTAGCTTTGTTAGGTTTCTTTTTCAGGCCTTTTTTTCCTTATATTCACTTACTGCTTCTGCTGTCATCATACTTCCTGTCATTTGGTGACAATGCTTACTCGTTGTACAGTATCCATGGAGAAGCAGTGCTGTTGCCAAGACTGCTGTTAGAAACCACGGGGGCCCCATACAGTCAACCTGACCCCCATCCCACAAAAAAACCAACACACAGTTTACTATGCTTCAGTTATAAATGAACACAGTGAGTGATCGGTACTGATCACTCATTGTGGTCATTCAGAAAAGGAAGGGGCTGGTAAATGTGACATTTACCGGAACCTTACTCCACTCTAAATCCTGAAGGGGGAAACGTATGATGGAGGGTGATGGATGTGGTGGGGGGGGCAATTACTGGAACCGATCCCCTGTATGGCTCTATCTGCAGCAGATGAAAGCCAGCGAGAGGGAGAGGAGAAGAAGCCAGCATTCAGCTGCTGCAGAGAGAGCCATACAGGGGATCAGTTCCAGTAATTGCCCCCCCACCACATCCATCACCTTCCATCATACGTTTCTCTCCCCGCCATGCCAATCACCCTCCCTGCCCACATCAGATTCACCCAGCTGCCTGGGCCCTCCTGCTGGCTTGGGCCCCATACAGGAGAACTGGTGGCCCTGTTTGTTGCCCAATGCTGCCCCTCTCCATATCTCCATTCGGTAGACTGAAGTTGTTTTGTAGCTCATAGAAGATAGATGGGACAGCTGATAACAATGTCTTAGATTTCAGTTCAGTGCACAGAAAGTTACAATCAAAATGGCTTTCTGACAAGATCATCAGGAGACATCCCTTACTCATGGAAAATGTATTTAGTCTGAAAAAGAGAAAACAAATGCAGCTACCATACCTAAGGAGTTGTAAGCTATAATATAATCATTTTTGTTCCTGGCTTTAGATGTTTTTTAAACTTCTGAGGATCTAGCTTTTAACATCTATCTCCTGTAGTAGAATATTTACAAAATCCCTGATCTCTTGATAGTTAAACCTCAATGCTTTATATATAATTGAACATATGACAGGATTTGTCATGTTGCTTTTTCTTCACAAAGAAAACAGTGTGAGTATATGTTAATATGCATGGATTAAATCATTTTGTCTGTTGTAAATCCCAATGCTTATAGATGATTACAAAAGGAGATTTGGGTACATTTACAGACATTTGGCAGAGCAGTGATTTATAAGCACTCGTCTACATATTGCAAGAATCTAATATTTTTTTCTGTATATTCATGTGCCAGCTATTTTTCCCTTCATGAATAGTAACCTAATAATGTTATATAAACTCATTTCCAAGCTGTTACTGTATTTTAAGAGAGGTGAACAAATAAAACAAGACAACTCTCAATGGAAAAGAGTTGTGGTGATCCTAGCAAAGAGATGTTGCTTAGGGGGGTCAAAAGTTGTGTGCCTACAAGCTACCAGAGATGGTTCTCTGCCCCGGATCACTGGAAGTAACTGTTTTTCTCTAATATATTGTAGAGAGAGATAAGTGAAAAGGAGCTGATAGCTCCACCAGCTGGATGATAAAAAAACAACATATTTGAATATTTAGCTGACTGGAAAAATAACATTTTAGGATGTATGTTTTCTTGGCTATAAAATTAAAGCCTAACTCAAGTAAAATGAAAAATCTCAGTCTGCTGCACTTCACAGGTTAAATGTCTGTTATCCCTTGGGATTACTGTTCAACCAGCTTTACTTACCTTACATCCCCACTCTGGCTGGCTCCTACTTTCTCCTCCTTAACTGAAGTTCTGGAGTGTGACTGGAGACGGGCATTACATATAGAGCATTACATATAGAGCAGGCTATGGGGAGACTGGTCACAGTGCTAGAGGGACCCTGCTGGAGCAAGAGGTAGGGTAAGTATTTCTACTTTAATCCTCTGCCCGTAGACTACATGAGCAATTAACCCTTACACTGCAGAGGGGCTCCACTGCAGGGGAGTTTTTTTGTCCTTAAGTTGGCCTTTTAAGAAGGAAAATGAGTAAACAAATCTTAATATTCTCCCTTTTATATTAACCCATTGCCTTATGGCTTCCAAAATGATTAAAATAAATAAGCTTAGAAGCAAGAGCAGAGAATAAGGATTCCTACCACACCAATAGATATTGGTTAATTTTTTAGCTTGTGCTAAAAGAAAAACAAGAGACAAAAAGGTATGAAGCTATTTAATAAAACATATACAGAGAGAAACAAAATCTTCCTCATAAATATACATTCAGCAAAGCTAAATGCAAATAAGAAACCAGTGTAGGAAATAACAAGGCAATGCTAGATGAAGCAAGACTATGCAGAGAGAGAATGATATATACAAACCAGGCAGAGGTTAAAAGGAGTTTAGTATAAACAGCTCACTCAACAGAAAGCTTTAGTGCCAACTGCAAAAAACATTTCTAAATCCTGAGGCATGGTGTCTTCAGGAGAAGAAACATGGCATTGAAGAAACATCCTACCAAATATGGTCAGCAAGTGGTACATCTAGTGCATTTTACACCCAGAGCAGATGTATATTTTTTTTAATTCCAAAGTTTTATTGTACATTACAAAAAATGCCAAAGTGAATGTCAGCACAAGACTTGCGGTAATATATTGAAAAGTCAGTAAACTTTGTATGTAGCAATTTTTTAATGCCATTGGTCACATCTGTAGGGCAAACAATCAGGAAAGGTAAAAGGTTGTGTCTATGAGGTCAACTGATTTTCTGTGCAGGACTTTGGAAAGGAAGAAGGCTGCTGCCTGTGTTGAAAAGTTGATCAAATAGGAGTGGATCTCCACATTATGACTCCACATGGGCTGCAGCGAAGTAGAAAGGTGGATTAATTATGAAGGTATACAGATCATGGGTAAAGGGATCCTTGGGAGGTGTTGGGGTAGTATGAGGTTTTCAGGTCAAAGAGTAGAAAGTTGGGGAAGTGTGTGGATGGGAATGGGTTTAAAGGTAAGAGGGGGAAGAATGTGGGAATTCATGTGTCCAACTCAGCCCAGATATACCAGAGAGCACACTGTGGACCAATAGCTACTTGTAATGATACTCAAGTTGATTTGAATTTTAAATTCTTGGTAGGCTGGAGTACTAGTAAAATCCAGAAAACCCAAATGGGCTTATTTTTAAAGGAAACTGTAAGGTCTTCGATTTGTTTTATGTCTTGTGCTTTGGTGAAAAACCAGGAAATAGCTGAGAAGCTTCTTGTTTCCACAAGCCAGATATACTGTACAAGCTATGGTTGTATTTATCCGATGTCTAGTTAGAGAGGTTGCTTTGGGAGCCTGATGTAATTTGGGTGTAAGAGGTATGCTGCAGGGTTCTCACCTTGAGATTAGGAAGTAATAAGATAACTAACATCTTTTACAGTATCCCAAAAGGGAGGAATGCTCACACGTTCTCAGAAAGTGTGCATCATAGTCCCCAGTGCTAGCCTGCAATTTCAACAGGTCTTTAGTGTTTGCTAAATTTGTGTCAGAAGGGAGCAGTTAATTAATAACACTCTCTGTATGAAAACATTATTTTATTTGGTGGTCAAAGGAGAGATATGATCTTACAATGATCATTAGTAGAGAAGTACCCCCCCCCCCTTTACATTGGTGTTCAGTCCTTTGTCAAATTACAATGGTGGTGAGTATAGTGCCCTTTTATTTTGCTTTGCTTTTTTATATCAGTACTTTGCCCCTTTACATTGGTGGTCAGTGTTTTGTCCCCCTACATTTGTGGTCAGTGTAATGCCTTCTTACATTGGTGGTCAGTGGGT